AAAAAAAAAAGACTTCCTAAAGCATTCTTTTTGAAAGCGGGCTTAAATCATTTTAAGGGAGAAGGAGTTCTGCTGCCTCGGTAGTGTGGAGTGGAGCGTGTGAAATGGGCCATGATGGAGAGCAGTTTGTTCAGTCACCTCCTGTCCCTCACTCACTCCAGATTATTATTAATTAATAATACTATTAATATATCATTAGTAAAAGGAACCTCACTTACATCAAGCTCAAAGAAAAGATCTCTCTCCTTGGAGGCAATTTCATAATCAGCCCGAAGTGCCAGGTCATGGATCTTAGTGCACTCCCCCAGGTCCATGCGCTATCACCAAAAAAACCCAAAACAGACAGACATGAGTTATGCTGCATAAACTCAAACATAAACAAATTATAATGTAAAAAAAATGACTGCAAAAGTTAAAGACACTTATAGCACTTTTTTTTTTTTCTTTCTGAAATTTCTTTCCAACCTCTTAGAAATGAACTGAGTTTTTAAAGCTTTCAGGATGGGTCAAAACTGAAGTTTGTCTCACTTACAGTTCCAGAGAGGATGTCATGTGGGCAGCAGTTGAGAAGGTGACTTTTGCAGACTCGTTCGTCAGTGAACTTGACCCTCTGCCGCGTCTCATCCCCTGAAACAGCCCAAAAGAAGAACCAGTGAGACAGCCCTCACATACTCGATAACAGTGGCGAGGTATCCAGTGCTTCAATACATATTAATGTAATTGTACTACATACCACAGTTCCATTTAAATACTTTGTACCTATCCAAATGAGTAAAAAATATTTGTATATTGCTGCTTGTCAGGGTTTTCATTGTACTTTATTAATGTAACATTACAGGTATCCATTAGTAGAGTAAATGTGCCTCTACTGGACTATACTAATGTATTAATGCAGTAATAAAGGTTGCTTTGTATGTGTGTGGTACTTTGTTCTTATTCTTAGTGCTTACCTTACCCAAGCCTCAAATGGGTTATTATCAGAGCCTCAACTCAGTTAACTTTTTATAAGGCTCAACGCCCACTCTATAATGAGGGTCAAAGGATTGGGCTGGGAGCGGTGTAACATTACATTATAATAATACAATTTAGGTTTCAGTTAAGTCGTGTCAAGTACAGCTGCTACCTTAATGCTGTATCATTTTCATTAGAAAATGGAAGATGGCCACTACGACTATAAATAGAGATTTAAAATTTTAAAATCAAATGTTCCAGCCAAGCCTTTATTTATAACTGTGAACATTCAAAGGAAATTCAAAACAAGGATGCAAAAGAAATCCAAGGAAAAAAATTTAGGTTATACACACTGCGACTTGCACCACATACTGTACCCTTCTGCATCTTCAAGACCTCAGCTGCAGAATTTTAAACCCGCTGTAGAAAAGTATAAATGGGAACAGTTTTCTCGCGCACACCTGTAGTAAGAAGTTGGGAGTCATACACAAGTCAGATTGTAAATGCTGTGTGCAAAGTTTTTTTTTTTGTGTGTGTGTGTGGACTGACTGCTAAAATTGCCTTCTGAAAACAGACGTGTAATGGAAAACTGCTCGTTTGGACTCAGCGCGACCAGACGTCTTAGCTCAAGCTGTGTGATACTACTTCAAATAGTAATACTAGTGCCACTGAAGATTTACCCATTTGTGTGATTTTTTTTTTTTTTTTTTTTTAAGAAAAAAAAAGGAAAAAAGGCTACAATAACTTCCGGAAGGCAAACAAATTGTTTGGATATTCACCATAACAGCTTTAAAAATTATGTGTGACTCACGGCTCGATGAACATGAGGCTTTTCTGCAACTCCTTTGCAGATTGATGTAGGCTGGCAAAGATACACTGAACCTTAATGAATAAAATAAAG